TTATTATTATTATTATTATTATTATTATTATTATTTAAAGTTAACCTTAATAAGAAAAAAAACATTTGAAAATTGTGCAATCAAACATAATTGACATTTCCTTTTGGTGAAATTAAATTTTTCCCGCTAACGTGTAGCTAAGTTCTATTAATCTATCAACTTTTGCCCTTAAATGGAAGGGATGAACACCTTGCTAATCGCATGGAGGATCACCACGCTTATGGGAAATTTGCATGTAGTATGATAGGGATACGTGTGTTACAGATTACAGTTTTCTGATTTCTAGGTCAAAGAAGTGTTTCATGGAGAAATCTGATAAATGCACACATCATCCTTGTGGGATTGACGGCAAAAAGACTAAAGCTTGAGGGAGGTCACTTGCCAAAGGTTCAGCTTTAGATTGTGGCTTGTTAAGAGGTTAGCATTGTTCTATAGCCTGCCTTTTGAGCCTCAGAAATACTGAATGCCATTCTCATTTGCTCAAGTTCTCCCTCGTTTTTTAGACTCTATTCTGGAAAATATAAGCATGTCAAGTAGTTTCCTTGCCATTAGGCTTCAATGTTTCCATCCAGAATGAATGATTAGGTCCTTCTCATTGTTGCATTTTGGCTGATGTTGGACTAACGACACAGGACTCTATAATTTTAGTAACCGATTCATTAGATTCCCAATATCGCACTCAACCCACTTGGACTCTACTTAATTTTTGCATAAACCTCTACAAAGCAGAATCTGCTAACTATTGGTGCTCTTTGTTTTTCTCATTTCCCTTATTCTGTAAATGTTATTTTTAATTTCAGGTTGTGGTTATTGGATGAGGAGGTGGTTGTGTCCTTTGTGAAGTGGCTTTCCAATCTTCTGTTGAGAAGATAGACATCAGTGAAATTGACAAGATGGTCATTGGCGTAGGTCACTTAAACTTTTTATCTTTATTTTCACTTAACAATACTTTCCTCATTCTATTTTATTTCTTTAGATATTACACATTTAACCTAAACTACCACACTGTGTTTTGCTAGATTCTCTTGATCTTAAATTTTGAGATTTTCAAGCATTGTACTTGAACCTATTGAGTGTTACTATATGAAATTGTGTTTAAATCCTTATTTCGTTCTCATATGCATAACGATTTATTTTTAATATCTTATTTTAACCAAATGAATGTTGACTTTAATGTGTTTCATTGTTCTTTTAAACATTCAATATGCACGAATGAAATCTTGAAATTATGCAATGCGTTCAACTAAAATCTATTCATATTTGGAATTCATTATTATACTTACCAATGATTTATTCACACTTGTTGTTAATATGTGAAAATATATGTCTCATCATCATATCAATCAACCTAGAAAGAAATGAATCGACGATCTTTGTTAATTTATCTAATTTTCTCATATTTGTGCTTTTACAATCCTCTTTCATATCCTATTCATGTCTGTGTCAATCATGAGAAATTGCTGAAAGTTGAACATTCGTCCATCACATCCTTTTAGTTAACTAATGCACATTCTAAACCGATATTCAATTGGTCATATTGTACTTGTAAGTGGTAATTTTATAGCACTATTTAATTAAATTTTATTGCTCAGTGCTT